CGGGTTGTCATTTCCTTTTATGGGAAATTAATAACAAAAACTTCAAACCCCTTTTTCTCAAAATGACAAAAAAAAAATTCACTGATTTTCTCAGATGATGTCCCATATATGGATTTTTCACCAATCAAATTACAGGTGAGCATGGCTGTAAAACGATCTTTGGGTCATTTTTTACCAAAAACTGATGTGTGAGCAATTGTTCTTTTTGTTCTAGCTTCCAGAATATAGCAGTTTCGTCACAATTCCATATATCTTCAGGACTATAGTTTTTTAAGATCTCTTGAAGTTGAAATTGCATGTTTGCAATTTCATCAATAGGAACACTCATAGATTCTCCTCTTTTTTTATAACTTTGTAAGTCATTTCTTTTTTTAAAATTGGATAACCATCCACTAGATGCATTAAAATCTCTAATTCCGAACATATTAGCTTTTTCTTGAATAATAGGACCACTTATTGTTAAATTTTTAGCAAGAAGTTGCTCAACCCAAATTCTTGTTGCTTCTTCAATATTCGGGTGACTAGTTGCTTTTTTCCTAAATTGAGCATTTGAAGAACCTTCTTCATATTTCAACCATTCAGAAGATTGCCTCAATATATCAGAAACAGATTGTGTAGATATTCCATACTCTTGGGCAAGGTCAATTCCTTTAATATTTGGGTTATCTCTCTTTTTTTCACATAATTCTTTTTTTTGTGCTTTAGTTAATATTTTTCTTTTCTAAATGATTTTTAAAGAAAAGAATTAATTTTTGAGGCATCAATAACATTTAAACCTTTATTAATTAAAAATTACTTTTGATATTTGACTTAGGTCTTCTGATATGTTCTGTTCTGACATATTTTCAATTTTATTATGATTTTAAATTTATTATTATAGTCCTCTCAACCTACAATCAAACATCTTTTTATATCTATTTGAAGTAATACAATGGCATTTCTAAAATGATTAAAAGTAGCTTCTTTGACTTTATTCATATGTAAGATTAAAAGCAATGACCTCATTTATGGATTAAAAAATAATGACATCGGAATGAACAATCTTTCAATTATTAGCTTATAAAGAAATAAAAAAAAATGACATGTATATAAGTGTCATTGACATTAAAATGAATCATTAACAACAATCTTTCAATTATTAGCTTATAAAGAATAAAAAAAATGACATATATATGTGT